CGATTCCAGTCAAGGGCGTGTACCTTGGTTGTGGGCACATCCCCAGTGAGGGGTGTGCAAGAGGCAGCTGATTGATGATTCTCTCTCATCGATGTTTCTAGCTCTCTGTCCCTCTCTCTTCCTCTCTGTAAAATATCAATAAAATATATTTTAAAAAATAAAATAAAAAATAAAGTGTCAAATCTATGCCATTTTGATCTACTTGGATATGTTAGCTTTTTCCTATTGATATCTTTTTCTAAATGTTTTGTACAAGTAGTACATCTACTCTTCTGTAACTGACCAGAAGGCTCATGAACAAAGAAACACTTTCAGTGATGAAAATTGTTTCAGTTGTCATTTTTCCACCCCCTTTGACAATGAAATGATTTTATAATGATATTACCACCCATTTTTAATCCTAGTCTGTAGTCTTTTATGTAAAGTGCCTTGTAAGCATTTCTCAATTACAGTGATTGCACCAATCTTTATACTTCATCTTTGTATGTAAAGATTTTTTTTATATTTATAGTACCATACAACAGGAATTAAATATTTTCCCATTTGCACAGTAATTAAACTTTGAGTGTCACATTAATGTAGAAGGGAGTGAGGATGAAAATCAAATGTTTTAGAACATAAATTTAAACTAAATCACAAAGGTTCTGTGGTGCATAATACCCTGTTTCCCCGAAAATAAGACAGTGTCTTATATTAATTTTTTCTCCCAAAGTTGCACTAGGTTTTATTTTCGGGGGATGTCTTATCTTTTCATGCGCCAGGTCTTATTTTCGGAGGATGTCTTATTTTCGGGGAAACACGGTAGTTCATATTAACTGAACTATTAACAAATGGATTTGTAAATTCAAAGTGGATTTTAAAGTAATTGCTTCCTTAAAGTATAAAAAAAAACAAAACTATAATTAGCAATATTTGACAGGGGAAGTGGTGATTTTAAGGTTCGAGTCATTTACTGATTTGCCAGATATCAAGTCTATCCAACTGTACTCAGTGTAGCTTGTTTCATGCTTACAAGATGTCAGCATATATTTTTACTAATGACCTTTTTTCATTATTCTATCACTAATCTTTCATTTTTTACTCAGTTAAAAGTAGAGCTTCTAATTTGTTTGTTTGTTTGTTTTGTTTTTTTAGTTTCATTTTTAAAAGTCTTTTAACAACTTGAACAGTTGTGAAAACGATATTGTGTTTCTATAGGAAGGCTCCGTTATACTCCAGTAGTCGAAAACATCTAGTGGAATGTATACTGTCCTAGCTTCTCACTGAAAGCTGAATTAGATATTTAAAATGTTATTTATTGCATTCTCAATTTGCACATCAGTTTTCAGCTGGCATAGCCACAAATTGGATGAGAGTAAATAACCTTAGTATTGTAAAGGTGGGGATTATAAATCTCTTGCACATACAGAAGTGCTGTGCTCTGTCTTTTTATTCTACCTATGCAGACATTAAAAATAATGGTTGCATAGTTGTCTTTAACAGAAATTAAGATATTGTTTGCCATTTTTCAGTAAAAGTAGAGCATATATTTGATAAACATTGATATTTGCTTCACTGACTTTTAATTAGGAATTATATAAATAAAACATTTAGAATGTTTGTCAAATACAACTCATTTTTTAAAGTTAACAAAATAAAAAGGCAAAATAGCAAACCTCATTTAAAATTTACTTTGAAGCTCAGTGTTTTTGCTTTCTTAGTTGCCTACCACCTCCCTCCCTTCTCCCTCCCTTCTCTGTTCAAATGGAGAGGATATAAGGCGAGTACAGATGCGGCAGGTCTTAAACGAAAGCGTTCCCAAGGTACAGTAATTGTAGTTTCATTTCTCCATGTAGTTATATTCCTGGCTTCTAGCACTTAGTTGTATTTAGAGCATTCAGTTGTATTTAAGACATAGAAATTATTAGTATCAGTATTTAAAGCATAAAAATATATACATAGTGCTATTTTTTTTAGTGTTAATTATAAGTGCTATAAACATTTGTAAATGATGTGTGTAGTCCAATAATGGGATATTCGCCAGTTTTAAGAATGAAATTTTGTTGGCCTAACACTATTCTCTTAATATCTTGATCTTGAAGTTTCACTGTTTTTACCATATGTTGCTCAAAACTATTTTAACGAAAATATGGTTTAGAAACAGACAAAAAGGCTTAAAATAGTGACTTGGATTGGACATAAAATTAGAAAAGTAAATAATTGTTAAATGTAGTCAAATATTTTCTTTAATTTATGAAAAGTCCTTTTATAAAGCTGAGTTTGTACGTTGTTTTCTTCGGAACTCAAGATATTATTGTTTGTTATGTTAATTGCATCTCGGTCTTGTGTTCAATGTTAGTAATGTGCCCTGGCAGGTAAGTTAAATACAAATTAGTTTCTCATAAATTTTTGAATTACATTTGTAACATAGCTAATAAATACATTTTCCTGGAATGGATTTACTTTTCTATGTATTCTTATAGGAAACAGGTTTACAGTCAAACCTCAGTTCTCGAATATGTCCCATCTGGAACAATTTGGTTGTTCACAGGAAAAATGTCTAGGTTGTCCAACCAAGCTTCAGTCCTTGAACTGACAACCCTTTCAAGCTGATACATCAGCATGACAAAAAGCGTCTTTCAGGCAACAAAGAAAAGAATGCTTTTGTTGCTGATGAAATCTAGCACAATTTTTCAAACATAACGAGGCCATCAAGAGTGCTAATGTTGCTAAGGGTGTGAAAGAAATAATGATCATGGCAACTGAAGAGGAAGAAAATCTTGCTGATTTGGATAAAGGAAAAGCAGTTAGCTAGTAACAGTCCTTTCAGAGGCAGTGATATAGAAACAAGAAAAGAAGCTGCATACTGACCTGAAAGACATCCCTGAACTGAATGCTAAAATTGATTCCTTTAAGGCTGGTAGGGAATTAAATTTAAGGGAAGTATTTATAGATTAAACAGTACCTTAGACATGTACAGTATATAAGAAAGGTTAAACAGGAATTATTTCAAGGTCTGGAATGGATTAATCAACTTACCTTATTTCTAATGGGGAAAAGTTATTCGGTTTTCAAACAATTCGTTTCTAGAACAGCATACCGGAATAAATTAAGTTTTAGAACCGAGGTTTCACTGTACATAAAAATGTTTTAGGATCTTAAATATTGACCAAGGTTATATATATTTTTTCGTATTTAGCTTGAGGTTATTTTCAGCCCATCTTCAAATCAAAAGAATATTAGATTGTGCCAGTAATTATTCTGTGTCAAGTCACTTTATCTCTTTGTACCTATGTGTCTTTGTATACAATGTGAGATAATATTTTGCTTAAAGAGGATTTTTAGAAAATAAAGCATAATTATTTGAAGGTGCCTAGCTATACCAGAGGTAGAGGAAATATTTAAGTTTTTTAAAATATAATAATTATTAAATTATGAATTAGTGGGCATGTTATGACAATCTCCTTTGTTCATTGCTTCCACAAACATTAATAATTTTAAGGACACTTTGTAAGGACACTGTGTTTGGTGCTAATGATACATAATATAGTTCCTGCCTTACAGAATTTATGAATTTCTGGAGCATATACCTTAAGGTGACCAGATTTTAACATTGGTAAAGCGGGACACCAATGACGGGAGGGGGGGGGGGGGGGTCTTGATTAAAAATTTGGTCTATATGGAGCAACAAAAATTTTCATAGAATGCAAAAATAGTATTGTAATATTTTTATAAAATTTCAACATAAGTATAATTTACAAATATAATAAATAAATAAAAATTATGTATAGTCGTAAGTGTCACTTTCAAGGCTGGCACTAGACTTTTTGCTGCCACTATAAAATATAAATAATGCGAGTACTGTCTGCTAAATTCAAGAAAATTTATGATTTTTATGAAATAAATAAATAGATAATTTACCTAAATTATCTGAATAGCTGATTTGTAATGACATCACTTGTTTAGCTTACTAGCACACAGTACGATGTGTATCATCTGAGAGATAGTTACAGTTGTTGCCAATCCCAAAAATGCCATTGTTCATTAAGTCCAAACAATGGTGGTTGAATTCTTAACAACTAATCAACAATGCAAACTTTGATAAGCAGTTCTTGATAATCAGTTCTCAACAATTATTTGTTATTATTAAAGTTTAACATTATAAAATTAACAAAAATAATATAAAACTCATATCCTGGCTAAATATCCACATGGCCACCGAAAACCGTATATTCCCTTCCCGTTCTCCCGCCGTTCCCTAGCTTGTCGTGCATTCTTTCCAAAACTCAGGACTTTTTTTTTTAAACCCCACAGGATATGGGACAAACTGTTAAAAAATCGGGACTGTCCTGCCAAAAGCGGGATGTCTGGTCACCTTAATATAGCTTTGATTTTTTTTTTAAACTCATTTTCACCAACCATACGGCAGTTATAGAAATGCAATAAACATACTGATTTGAGCATTATTTAAAAAAAAACACAATTTCTTACTAAAACATCTTTCAACTTTGAATTTTTCTTACGGTGAGCAATATCCAATAATTGGCTTTAGTATCCATTCCAGAAATTTCTTATACTCGAGTAAATTAGATTATTTTCTTCTCAGTTTAAAGATAATTTTTTTCTCTATGAGACTTTATTTTGCACTGAGTGAAATTTTCACAGATCCAAAAGTAAAAATCAACAGAAGAAGTGGAACTTAAGTTTCTGTGTTAAAGCTGCTGAGGACTTTGGAGTAGTACATCACCTGGGAAGGCAGTATTTTACAAAAACACATTAACTACATGTTAGAGGTTAAAATTTATGGTAGTTAAGCCACTATTCCATGTTGTTATAATAAGTAGTCATTCCGTATAGCATGGCTAATCATTTACAAAATAAAGTCCCTATCCATTACTTGCTTTACATATGTGTTTCAATGAAATAGGATTTTTTTAAATTAAAAATCTGTGTATTATAATTTTTCACACAAATGGAGTTTATCTTGGAGACCTTCAATCAATTTTTCCTTTTTGCAACAGCTGTTCATAGTTTCAAGTTGACTCGAAACCACGTGGACTGGCACAATATGGATGAAGTATATATTTATAGTGATGCAACAACATCTAAAATTGCAAGAACAGTTACCCAAAAACTGGGATTTTCTAAAGGTAATTGTTAAATATTGCTATAATTTGTTAAAATTTTGGAAATCTGAGTTTTTCTCTTATATTTAGAGTAGGCTATTCAAATTATATTTTTAGTATATTTTATTATTTTTTTTAAATATATTTTTATTGATTTTTCACAGAGAGGAAAGGAGAGGGATAGAGAGCTAGAAACATATATGAGAGAGATACATCGACCAGCTGCCTCCTGCACACCCCCTACTGGGGATGTGCCCACAACCAATTTACAGGCCCTTGACCAGAATCGAACCTGGGACCCTTCAGTCCTCAGACCAATGCTCTATCCACTGAGCCAAACTGGTTTCGGCTATTTTTAGTATATTTTAAGTATGTGTTATAGTTAATGACAATTTGCTGACTTCTTAAGTGAAACATTTATTAAGGTGATTAACTTGACCTATCGATGAATAATATATTTAGAATGATTTGACAAGATTAATAAAAAATTCTTTTATATCTATAAAAGCAATCAAATTCAAGGTATTAGTGTGAAAATAAACTTCAATATAGAACTATAGTATTAAGGAAGATGAAGACTAAAAATTTTTCATTGGACTTAATGAAATGGAGGTCATTGGTTATTTAGATGGATTGATGGGCAGATGCCAGAGTGGCATGGGTTGAAGCTTAAGTACAAGTTAAAGAAATGGAGGCAGGGTAATAGACAACTCTTTAAAGACCTTTGACAAAAAAGAAGGAAAAGAGGGAATGGTACCAGGGGAGATATGAGAATATTATCAAAAAATAAATTAAAAAAATTTTTTTTCAAGTCTGATATAATTTATTTATTATCCAATTTTTTATTTTAATTTCTTTGATAGCAGTTGTTCTTGAATATTGTTTTATATATTCATTGGTTGGTTGTATTTTTTTGTGTGTGTGAATTACCTTATATCTTTTTCCTGTTTTGCTGTTTGAATGGTTATTTTTTTCATTTCTTCATAAGCTAGCTCTCTTTGAATATGTAGGCAATTAACTTATTGTGTATCATATTTTGTATAAATTTCCCTAGTTATGCATCTTTTATTTTTGCTTCATGGTATTTTTTTTTTATAGCGAAATTTAAAATTTTTATATATTCAAATCTTTCTTCTTTCCTTACTTTTTTCCTTCCTTCCTTTGTTTTATTTTTCTTTAGGTTTCTGGCTTTGGTGTTCTGTCCAGTTTAACACTTCATATCAAAGCCAATCAATATACTTCATCTTATAAATTTTATCCCTTCCTAAGCCAGTGAAATTTTTTTAATACTTTATTTTTTCATTATTTCTTTCAATATATTATGAGAATGCTATTTTTGAAATAAACAATAAATTTTGAGTCATAAATTTTTTACAGCATCAAGTAGTGGGACCAGACTTCATAGAGGTTATGTAGAAGAAGCCTCGTTAGAAGACAAACCATCTCAGACAACCCACATTGTGTTTGTTGTGCATGGCATCGGGCAGAAGATGGACCAAGGAAGAATTATAAAGAACACAGCCATGTGAGTTCTTTGTTGAATTCATTCTCCATCTAGTTTAGAATCTAAACTTTGTTCCTCACTATCTTCTTTCATATTTTCTTCCTTTTTTTTTTTTTAAAAAAAAAAGCCACTCCAGATAATTATAACCAAGTGATTCAGTAGACATGGTTGCTTGCCTAATCAATACCTACTTATGTGATCATTAAGAACTATTAGTAGTGATGCTTGGAGTTTAGAATTGTGTAAGCTTACTCTAGAAAAGGACAGCATTTTAAACAAATGTAGTGTTTTTGAGTTAACTCAAAATCAGGGTTCCTCAAACTCATCACTATTGATGTTTTTGACCAGATAATTCTTTTCTTTTTTTTTTAAATATATTTTATTGATTTTTTACTGAGAGGAAGAGAGAGGGATAGAGAGTTAGAAACATCAATGAGAGAGAATCATCTATCAGCTGCCTCTTGCACACCCCCTACTGGGAATGTGTCCGCAACCAAGGTACATGCCCCTTACCGGAATTGAACCTGGGACCCTTCAGTTCTCAGGCCAACGCTCTATGCACTGAGCCAAACTGTTTTTTTGGCGTTGATCAGATAATTCTTTAATGTGGATGGCTGACCTATCAGTTGTATATATTTAACAATATTCCTGACCTTTACCCACTAGTTGCAATTAGAACCCCTACTTGTAACAACCAAAAATATATCTTGACATTGCCAAGTGTCCTCTGGAGGGAAAAAATTGACCATGGTTGAGAACCACTAGTATAAATGAACTTTTTTGTTTTTGTAAATTCAGATAACAAACTTACCACTTCCTAATAATTATTTCACAATGAAAAATATAAAAACTATATAGTCATCAAGGAATACACACACACACACACACACACACACACACACATATATATATATATATATATATATATATATATATATATGCATAACCCATAGACACAAACAACAGTGCAGTAAAGGCCTGGGGAAGGGGCAGGAGCAGGGTGGAGGGGGTAAAAAATGAATATGTGAGTAGAATAATAGAAATTTTTAAATATTTTTTCTTTTATATACTCATATTTGTTAATACTGAACATTTGAAAGTATGAAAAAGAAACCGGTTTTTTTGTAATGTATTTAAATCTTTTAAAGTGGCAACTATGCCAAAGCTGGTTTGGCTAAGTGGCTAGAGCTTCGGCCTGTGGACTGAAAGGTCTCAGGTTCGATTCTGGTCAAGGGCATGTACCTTGGTTGCGGCACATCCCCAGTGGGGGGTATGCAGGAGGCAGCTGATTGATGTTTCTCTCTCATCGATGTTTCTAACTCTCTGTCCCTCTCTCTTCCTCTCTGTAAAAAAGTCAATAAAATATATTTTTTTTAAATGGCAACTTTGGCGATATACAATCAGTAAAATATTACAGTTGACCCTTGCCTCTTGCACAGCACAAGGGTTAGGGCTCTGATGTCCTTCGCTGTTGAATATCTGTGTATAACTTCAGTTGGCCCTACATGTAGAAGGAGTCCCAACCACCAGCTGATCCTTGAACAACTTGTTTTTGAACTGTGTGGATCAACTGAAATAAATCTGCATATAAGTGCAATTGAGCAGTTCAAACCAATGTTGTTCCAGGGTCAATTATATTATGTTGTAAATAATGCCTTTTAAAATATATTAAAAATGAAGAAACACTTTTTAACAGATAGTATTGGGATAATTAAATAACAATATGGCTAAAAATAAAATTAGGTTCATTTTTCACACTAAGATAAATTTGAATTAGATCACATTTAAATGTAAGAAATGAAACCACACAAGTATTATGAATTTAAAAGATAGGGTTGAGGGGAGTTTGAATTCTTCTGAACCTTAGGAATAGAGAAAAACTGTCCTAACTATGACTTGATTCAGAAGTAATAAGGAAAAATATTGATAAATATTAAATCATCCCAAAGAAGCCATATGGCAAAACATAGACAAACTGAGAGAAAACATCTGCAACTTATATCTCAGATGAACAGTTAATATCTAGAATTTCTAAAAATAAATAATGTCTAACCACCTTACAGAAAATTGAGCTAAAAGTATGATCAGTCAGTTCCCAGAAAAGGAAATGCTCAATCATGCTCATAAAATGTATATTAAAATTACAGAAGATGTCATTTCTTGACAGATTAAGCAAAAACACAAAATTTGACAGGCTGTGGGTAGGGCATGTTTGGTCAGGCTGTGGGTAATGGGCATGTTTCTAGTGAAAAACAATGGAGGAGAGCGTATATGGCAATATGTTTCAAAATTATAGGTATGCTAGAGGCCCGATGCACAAAGATTCATGCAAGAATGGGCCTTCCTTCCCCTCGCTGCTGGCACCACTTTGTTCCAGCCTGGAACCGCCTTTCTGCCTTTGCTCCAGCCCAGAACTGACTTTCCACCTTCCCACACTGCCCTGAGGCCTAGAGCTGCTGGGGTGGTAATGACACAAGTGTCCCACCCTGCCCGCTGGGCACCTGTGTATGCAAATTAATCCGCCATCTTTGTTGGGTTAATTTGCATAATTTTGATTGGCTGGTGGGCGTCGTGAATGTACGGTCTCTTTGCATCTTGCTCTTTTATTAGTGTAAATGCATTTGTCCTTTGACCCAGCAAACTTACATCTTTTCTTTTTTTAAATTTTGTCTTTATTGTTGAAAGTAACCCACAAAACTTACTTTTAAGTCAAAGATCTCAGCAAATATACAAAAGAACTCTGTCTGGTTTTGCTCAGTGGTTAGAGCATCAGCCTATAGACTAAAGAGTTGTGGGTTCAATTCCCAAAGTCATGTACCTCAATTTCAGGCTCAATTCCTGCTCCAGGTCAGGGCCCATGTGGGAGGAAACCAGTTGATGTCTCTCTCTCTCTCTCACATCTATGTTTCTGTCTCTACCTCCTATCCTCCCTCTCTCTCAAGTCCTTTTTTTCCACTCTCTAATAATCAATGGAAAAATATCCTTAGGTGAGGATTAAAAAAAAAATACAAAAAGATATATGCACCAGGCTACTCATTGCAAATGCTCAGCAGTAAGAGACTATTTGAGAGAACCCACGATGGTGGCGTAGGTAAACACACCTAAATGGCGGCAGTGCACAACAATTTCAAAACTACAACTAAAAGACAAAACGTCTTCACCCAGAACCACGGGAGGGCTAGCTAAGTGGAAGTTCTACAACCAGACGGAAAGAGAGGGGAGCATTCAGTGCACAAACGCTGAAAAACTGAGGGACGGGGGTGCATGATATGGGCTGGCAGCAGATTCCGGCTGGTGGTGGGCTTTGCTTTCTTCAACCCGAAGGGGAGACGCGCGAGACCAAAACTCATACGGGGAGAAGCTGGACTGTCTGCCATCAGTGAGGGTGGCTGCCTTGCAGAGCTGTGCGGAGGAATAATTGTTTGCTGCACTGGGGCATGAGATGCGGGAACGCGGTTGGGGGCGCAGAATGGCTCACTGCCAGCCATTGCTATTTGCCATGCCCTAGCCTAGTGACGCTGCTCCACACAATCTACAAATACCCAAGCTCCTACCCAAGCAGCAACTTTTGCATGTGAATGGCCTTCACTATCACTGCTAACTTGCAAACCAGTTCAGTCAGCTCCATAATCTACAAATCCCAAGCAGAGAGGAGAGGACTGTAGTTCCTGCAGGGTGACCTCACAGTACCTGAACTGCACCTCATTGGAGATCTAGAAGCCAGTGTATCTAGTGGTCATTGTGAGTCACAGATTTCAACTCCTCACATCCATAACTGACACATTCAAGAGGCAGACTCAGTGAGCACCAAAGCCCCACTGAAATAAGTCCTACACCATAAGCGTGTCTCCAGCACGGCAGTTCTTCCATTATAAACACAGCGGGTCCCCATAGCCAATTGGCCTGGAGGACAATTCCTCCCAGGGTACCAACAGCAATCAAGGCTTAACTACACCAAGACTTTGCACTCAGCCCACAAAGGGGTGTACCAAGACTGTCCACCTCAGGTGATTGAGGAGGCTGAGCTACTGGCCCCTGTGGGTCACTTACCACGCAAAGCCGTTCCATCAACATAGGGAAGCAGCCAAAATGCGGAGACACAGAGGAATGTTGCAAAAGGGGGCAATGGAGGAAAGCAAACTACGAGACGACAGGGAGTTCAGGACCACATTCATAAGGTTACTTAAGAATCTTCTAAAAACTGCTGAGAAACTTGATGAGACCTTCAAGGACCTTAATGAGAGTGCCAAAAAAAATTAATAAACAAATGGAAAAGGACCAGTCAGAAATTAATAATACACTGTCTGGAGCTCTCCACAGCAATGGCGATGGTCTCAGTGCCCAGCTTTTCAAGAAAAGGCCTCACGTGGATAATCGCAGGGGTCCCACGTAGAGAATTTTGGTCTCGATTCAGAGAACAGAAAAAGCCCGTAGTAGCGAGACAGTAGAGAAGGTGAAGAAAGAATCCATTCTGGCATGTCCACCCTTACGAAACTGAGCATACATACCACCTGAAGATCTCCAGTGTCGTTTGGAATCTGGCATCAAGACATTTTTGGCTCATCTGCTCCTAGCAATTGGCAGGACATCTCCCTGGATGATGGTTGTCTGAAGTTTAGCTTCTTGGCACCGTTAGCTGATGACCTGGGCCATGCGGTGCCTAACTCCAGGCTCCATGAGATGTGCAGGGTCAGATATGTTCTTGAGTTCTATAATGTGCCTGTTCAAGACAGATCCAAATTTGATGAACTTTGGCCAGTAATCTGCCACCCAATATAAAAATCACCTGGGGCTACTGAGCAATTCAGAAGAGGAATTGAAATTAATTGTAATCATCGGAACCCCCCCCCCCACCTCAACAAAGAGGCTACCTATCATACATTTTGATACTTTGAAATACTATCAGAACTGTTCTCTAAAACCACTTATGCTGTGGAAGAATGCATTATCTTCTCATAATATCATGCATTGACAACAAATAAAGAAAGACTTTCTTTTCACATTTGCTGAAACTTTAAAAA